GGGCTCTGTACGCCGGCACCCGATCGATACATCGATTGGCCGAGTTCTCACCGGAGGCCCAGGCTTCAATCCATTCTGGGCCTGTTTTGTTTCCGGCGTGCGCGACTATTTTGGTGGCTGCGTAGTTAAGCTCGTAACCCATTTCGTAGGTGTGTGCGGCCACTTGTGATAAAGCGTCACCTTATCGCACAGCCAGCTTATGCTCTTGTATGCGCGATCCGAGCGTACGCCCGGTCTGCTCCGTGTAGTTAAAAGGACAAGTTTGACACTGAATTCGATACACTACTCCAGATTGCACTTCAATCGATTTATCGATCTGGCGCCCGCGTACAGAGCCCTGCGTAGTCACCTCCAGTCTCGCGCCGTCGGTCGATGATTGTTCTACACGCCCTATAACTGTCGCTTGTCCTATTACTCCTACTTCCTTTGACGATGGAGTCCTGCACGAGTCTGATAGCTTAGGACAATGAATGAAGTGTTCCGGGGCTCGACCCTTATTCTTTACTCAGTCATTGTTATGTTATATATCCACAGAACGCAGACAAAACACATATTTGGGCATAAAGTTAGTATTTTTTCTCTCATTGCTGTAGATAATTTTACTGACACTTCAAAATACCATAAGCTCGATTGTCTGAATTACGGGGTTTCTTGCAGTTTGCCTCAGGTACTTGTAAGACTGCACGACGTTTCCTATTCATTACCGTTTAAACTATGTTTAAACTATGTAGGATATCTGATTTTTCCACACTTTTAAGAGTTTTAAGAGTTGAAAGTTACGCTTTCGTAAACCTGCTGTTTTATTCAAATAAATAAGCGCACATGAATAGTTCTTTCGACTTGTTTGCAGAATTAGAAATGCCTCAACATGGTACATAGCAGTTAGTTTTCTTATTCGTGTTGTAAACTAATCGCGTCATTTCGAATAGCATATTTAGTCCTTTCTGCATTACATTTCGACTAGATCATTTTGCAACTACTATTGACAATGTGGTATTAGTTGTTACTGCCCTTTTTTATACTTTTAGTCGGGGACACGAACATCCCGTCTGTCCCGATTTAGGTGGTCAATCACCTAACAGATAAGCGAGCACGGGTGGGGAGGGCGGGTTTTAGCGATCTTGCCCACAGCCGTGTCGTGTGCGTGCTTTCTCGGCAAGACTGGTACGTCCCACAACAGGAATGAGTTGTTGAATAATCTGCAGTTACGCCTATAATTGTGCTTAGCGTTCGAGAACAGGAAGACATAACAGAACAAATTCCAAAGAAGACTTGTGATACACTCTCCCTTCAAGAACACAGTCTCTACTGCCGACAAAACGAAAATGTGGTGCTCTTACAAAGGAAAATTCCCGTTGATACACGACAAATGGTACGCTCGTAATTTTCTTTAACTACCACCGAATCGGCATCTGGCCGGTTTCCGGGTATAAACACTCATAAAAATGCAGGTTCGTCCCGTTGCTCCTAGAAAAGTGATGCTGTGTGTGTGATGCAGTATGTTTGCAAATTTCGCTAATAACAATTACAAATTGTTATAATATGCGAAAGGCCACCATCGTGTCACGCGAAGTCGGTTTATGCTTAAGCTAATGGGGTATTTCTAATTCGTCTAGATCATTATTCTCTCAAGACAACTGCATTTGAGAAATTGATTCCAACTGAGGGACAAGCTGAAATTTTGATACTAATATTCAACCCAAACTCGAAGAAATTTCACTTCTATTTCTGGGAATCACACACTGTTTCAAACATCCCTGATGTTTCTACTCCCCTGCAGGTAACGATACTCCGACTGTTGATTTGGCGATGTCCATCGTGTGATTCACAGTAGGATAGGCCTCGGGATGGTGACTTACAAATAAATTAGTTTGCAGTGATAGTAGACTTGCACAGCTTCTACCGCACTCTCATCTACCCTTCTTGGACACAGTGTCTGAACATAGGCACGAAGACCGGCGGTGGGGAAGGGCGCGGTTTCCTGGCACGGCTGGAGCTGCCCCAGGCGTGCCGCCATACCTAGTAAGATACGATATAACATTTCCACTTAAGAATCTAATCAGAATTGAAGAACAAGCTCAAACACAAATAGCCGACGATGCGAGATTGAAGAAGGCAGTTGATCTACAGACGAACCTCCAGTCTCTGCTCCGCCCCATGAATGAAAGAAGTATGGCCACGATATCTGCTAACTTCTCGAAAAGTAATCTCCCACCGCATGAAATCGACCTCCTGTCTAGGGGAATAGGATTTAATCCTGCAGATACTATACCTACAAACTTTCTAGCTGGTCTCGAATCCATTCTACTTACCTCTATCCTAACCAAAGACAAGCGCGCTGACATACACAGCTGTGCCACTGGTATCCTTCGGCAAAAAGACACCAACAATCTTTATTGACCGAAGAAGCGCAGGGATTGCAATCACGGAAATCGGACCACAATATTGTTGCTGTTCCCGCCGACAAAAGTGGCCACCGTCATCATGGACAAAACTGACTACGCCAAGTAGGCCATTATAAGCTTCAGTGACACGGTTTCCTATAACATTCTCGCGGAAGTCCTAACGAAAAAGCGAGCCGCAGTTATCCATAAAAAGGTTAATGAGCTTGCTCATCTGAAAGTCACAGGTTCAGTTGACTCAAAGTTGATGACCTCACTGATCCCCGTATCGCCCATGCGTATGATCCCCCAAAGATTCACGAAATTGGTACCCTACTGAGGATTATTGTTCTGCTCATCGGATCCCGTAATAACGATTTAACTAAATGGTTGTACAAGCATCTGAAGCCGCTAATTCGTGGATCTCACTACAGCATTAACAGCTCGTACGAATTCCTCCACCGGAACGAAGGCCTCAATCTAAACACTGATTAATGCCTCTTGTCGTTTGACGTCGTTGTCTTATTTTCTTCTATACCACACGATTTGCTAATTGACTACGCAGCCCTACGACTAAAGGACAATCCTGTTAATATCCCAGCGCAGCCCCTTATTGAACTGTTCAAACTCTGCCTTAAGAACTATTGCAAGTTCGACAATAAGTACTATCAGCAGGTGAAGGGAAGTCTAATGGACTCCCCAATATCCGGACTACTCGCTGAACTAGTGCTACAGCGACCAGAATATGAGGTTTTTCAAACTCTCAACCCCAAAAAGTGGCTCCGCTATGTCGACGACACCTTCGTCGTAATAAAGAACCGCGAAGTAGAAAGACCACATCAGAGGCTGAATGATGTTTTTTCAGCCATACAATTTACCCGCAAAGAGGCAGTAGGAGACAGTCTGTCGTCGCCTGACATAAAAAACAAAGGCTGGACGACGATAATCTCGCAACCATCGGGCATATAAAAGGGTCTGATTTTACGATTATCCTCAATTATAAAAGCAATCACTTTGCGGCTGACCGGACCTACCGTTATTACAGCAATGACGATCTCCTGAAGAAAGAGCCAGCTTATCTGTATCGGTGATTTCGATCCGATCAGTTTTGTGGAGAACTGTATCAGGCGTCAGGCAGAACCTCGTTGCCCCTTCTCAAATGGAGAAATCGTGACACCTAAATTCTTCTCCCTTCTCAGAAACCTCAGAAACGATCGTCCGTCGACAAAATTAATTCAGTATCCGCGTTGCTCAAAGCCTTTATCCTTTTTACGCACAGCCTTATCTCGAGTACAGGATTCTATCCCCAAAGAGAAGCTGACTAACGTTATTGACCGCATTCCGTGTACCAACTGCCCCTGCGTATATGTCGATCAAACAGGACGAAGCCTGGAAATTCAAATTAATGCATACAAACTAGCTGTCCGTCGCCGTGCCCCACTGTGCCTCGTCTTTGCACACGCACTCCAGTGCGACCAACGTCTTAATTGGAATTACATCGGGGTCATCGCCACGGCCACCACAAGACGGATGAGAGAATTCTTAGAGGCATGGCACTCTAACGCTGACAGCATTAACCGCCATGTTGACCTAGACACCCATTATGAGGGTTTAAGATCACGTCTCACTAAGCCGAGCCCACGCCGCATCAGCAGCCGCTAATCCAGGCGCCCGCAATTGCTCCCACCTACCATTCTCCCTCCCCTCTAAAACGAGGGGCCGTGAATGTTCGCTCCCCCACCCGGCTCAGAACCCAGCATGACTCCCTGCCCGTATGCAACCTCACACGCTAATGGTCCACCCATCAATGTTTGTCCTGTGGCGTCTACTAGTTTAGTGTGACCGTCTCTCTCTCTCTTTTATCTTCACTTCATTTGACGACGGGTTGGTGTCACCAGTTCGAACATTCACAAGTACAGCTCGTTTTTTCCGAAGAACCTCTTCTTTTTTTCATAGACATCAGAGAGAGAATGGAATTCGCTTTATTTTGAAATCATAAATTCAAAATTTGCAGCAAAAAATTGTCTTCATTCACAATGGGCAGTAAATAAGTTAATAAATTATTCCAGAGTCAAACAGTTTAACACAAAAGGAAAGATTATTATGAGGACAGTTTAAGTTTTAATTTCTATCTCTTCACATGTAAGATAGCACGGCAGGAAGGACAATGCAGAAGCTCGAAAAACCGATGTGCGACAAGACATAAGTCGGAAGCTGCGGTGCCTCGGACGGGAAGACTTCGCAGAAATAGGATCAGAATGTAAGGGATGGGCAACGTCATCTATAATCTCAGGCTTTATGGAGCTTCTCGAAGCAAAGAGGACTTACTTTATATCAAGCTATAAAGTAGATAACGGCCCGGGATCAGCTTACTTTATATCCACTACTGGATATATACAACAACGCGCGAAGTGCTTCCTCTTCAAATCTTAATAATGCCTGTGTATCCCGTACCCTTCTCTGAAGCTGTACTCGAAGATGGACTGACGCCACTGGTCCGTGGATGAGTCCGTATGGATAGGTGGAGAAAAGTCCAAAGCTCGTAGGCTGATTGTTTGCTCGCCTTGCAGGCGAACAGAGGCACCGTGTAGCACTTACAGCTCGCAGCCACGATCCGGCATGGTGTCCCACAGACTCCAGACAGGCGGTGTGGACGTGCAAGTGAAAAAACGCTGCAGTGGAAATAACGACATTTTGGACCGCAACGAATGGAAGAACTTCTCTGCGAACAAAGCTGTCTACGGTCCGCCGACGAAGGGCACTGCTCCTCTCCTCAGCGCCGACGGCAACACACTCCTGACTGAGAAGACGCAAATACTACAGCAATGGGCCGAGCATTTCCGAGGCGTCCTCAACGGCCCCTCCGTCATCTCCGACGCCACCATCGAGCGTTTGCCGCAAGTGGAGACCAACGTGGATCTCGACCTCTCGCCATCTCTCCAGGAGACCATCAGGGCCGTGCAGCAACTCTCCAGCGGCAAAGCACCCGGATAGGACGCAATCCCTGCTGAGGTCTACAAGCGCTGAGGTCCCCAACTGCCGGATCACCTGACTGCGCTCTTCCAGGAGATGTGGTGCCAAGGTGACGTCCCGCAAGATTTCAAAGACGCAACAATCGTGCATCTCTACAAGCGCAAAGGGAATCGCCAAGTCTGCGACAATCACCGCGGCATCTCCCTGCTGAATATCGCCGAGAAGATCTTCGCCCGCATCCTTCTCAACCGCCTCAATAACCATCTGGAACATGGCCTTCTGCCGGAAAGTCAATGCGGCTTCCGTCGTCATCGTAGGACCACGTATATGATTTTCGCCGCCCGAAAAACTTCAGGAGAAGTGTCAAGAGATGAGGACCCACCTGTACTCTACCTTCGTGGACCTGACGAAAGCTTTCGACACGGTGAATCGTGAAAGACTGTGGAAGATCATGCAGAAATTCGGCTGTCCGGAGCGATTCACTCAGATGGTGCGTCAGCTGCAAGACGGTATGATGGCGCGAGTCACGGACAACGGAGCTGTCTCAGAGGCATTCGCAGTGACCAACGAAGTGAAGCAGGGATGCGTGCTGGCGCCAACACTCTTCAGTCTTCTGTTCTCTGCCATGCTGATGGATGCCTACCGCGACGAACGCCCCGGGACCCGCATCGCCTACAGGACAGACGGTCGCCTCCTGAATCAACGGCGGATGCACTTCCAATCGCGCGCATCCACAACCACCGCTCACGAACTCCTCTTCGCCGACGACTGCGCCCTAAACACCACCTCGGAAGAGGAGATGCAACGAAGTATGGACCTGTTCTCAGCCACCTGCGAGAACTTTTGGCTGGTCATCAACAGGCAGAAGACGGTGGTGATGCATCAACCGCCACCCAACTCAGCCACAGCCCCAACGCGCCGCCGCAAATCAGCGTGAACGGAACCAAACTGCAAGTGGTGGAGAACTTCCCGTACCTGGGCAGTACTCTCTCCCGCAACACCAAGATCGACGACGAAGTCGCCAACAGGATCTCGAAAGCCAGTCAAGCCTTCGGTCGCCTCCAAAGCACAGTTTGGAATGGCCACGGTCTTCAGCTGAGCACCAAGCTGAAGATGTACAAGGCCGTCATCCTGTCGACACTAGTGTATGGAGCGGAGACTTGGACGGTGTACGCAAAGCAGGCACGCCGTCTGAACCACTTCCACCTCAGTTGTCTTCGTCGCATCCTGAGGCTAAACTGGCAGGATCGCATCCCCGACACGGATGTGCTGGAACGGACGGGAATCCCCAGCATCTACGCCATACTGAAACAAATGCAGCTGCGCTGGAGCGGCCACCTGGTGCGCATGGACGACGAGCGACTACCCAAACAACTCCTCTACGGAGACGTCGCGACGGGTTCTCGTCGTCAAGGAGGCCAGATTCGCCGTTAGAAGGATACGTTGAAGTCCTCCCTGAAACGCCTGCAAATCAACCCCACCAACTGGGAGGAGCTCGCACTCGATCGCCCGACCTGGAGGAGGACAGTGAAGACAGGCGCTGCGATCTACGAAGCCAACCGCATCGCTGCCGCCAAAACGAAACGCGAAGCCCGCAAATCACAACTTCGCCCAGTACGCAACGCCGCCGCACAACCGCTCCCCACGTTTCCTCGATGTCAACGGACATTCCAGGCTCGAATCGGCCTTGTTGGACATCTTCGGATCAACTGTGCCTCTCGAACGGCACCAACCAACGTCCCCCCACCCGCATCTTCCTCCTTCTCTCCGCCGCTAACTAACTCTGACGATTCTTCTGACCCACCACTTCCATCCTCCTCCTCCTCCGCCCACTCCTCCTCCTCCTCCCCCTCCTCCTCCTCCTCCTCCTCCTCCATAGCTTCCTTCTCCTCGCCCACTGCTCCAACGACGGCCGCTCAGGCGACACCACCACCTCCCACGATTCCAGCGATGAGGATCAGGACTACACCCGCCCTCACTGCGACCGCACCTTCACCTCACACATCAGCCTGGTCGGTCACTTTCGAATCCATCGCACAGAGACTGGCGAACCAGTGCCTGAAGCACCAACCAACACCCACCACACTCGCCCCCACTGCCCACACTGCCCTCGCAACTTCAGGCATCGCATGGGCCTTTTCGGCCACATGCGCATCCACGAGAGCGGCCTTGACTGCACTCCTGACACACCCACCGTGCACAGCCCCACGCTTGCTCCATCCGTCTGCGCCACCACCACCACCGCCTCCTCTGTAGCTGACACTGACACCGCCGAATTCTCATGCCCACACTTTCCACGCACCTTCACCTCACACATCGGCCTGGTCGGTCACTTGCAACTCCATCGCACAGAGACTGGCGAACCAGTGCCTGGAGCACCCTCCTAAACCCACCAAGCTCGTCTCAACTGCCCACACTGCCCTCGCACTTTCACGCATTGCATAGGCCTATTAGGACACATGCGCATCCACGACGACCTGCGGTAGACAACTGCCGGTTACACCACACATTCACACCTCCTAACACCATCACCCCACCAGAAATCAACACTCACACACCTCATGCACCCAACTGCCACCTCCCACGCAAGTGGGAAGTCCGCATCTCGACTCGGTCCCCATGCGGCTTCGGCTGCACGGGTGACTTGAGTCCGAAACTATCCCGACACGTCAAGTGTCGTGGATAGGATGGTTGCTGATTGACGCCCGCTCTCGGTTCACGCAGTTCGTCGCGTTGTGTGTGTTGTGTGGAGTGGCGGACTGGTGGGCCGGGGACTGGCTGAAACAGCACCTTCCACGGCACTCATGCAAGTTAGAGACACGCCGTTCAAGCCCCGTTGTGTGAAATCCTGGTGTTGTGTGTATGGGGGGTCAAGTCGTGCCGTGGCGCGCGCAGTCATGGTCAGTCGACCATGACAGCCACCGCGCCCATTCCCCACTCCAGTCTGCTGACCGGCTCGGACAGCGGCTGGGGTGTGGGAGTAGGAAGGAAGAGTGAGGTCGACGACTCAGCGCACTTTCTCCTCACTATAAACAATCTGTCGCGCTTGAAACTATCACGGTGCGCTAAAAGCCGTGGCTTGGAAGGTTGCCAACTGACGGGGTAACTTGGACCTCCTCCTTCACTGGAGGCGGTCTGAGAGTCAGGCTGCAATGGCTCCTTTTTAATGTGGCCTTTATGGCATTCCCACCACAGTGTGGGATCCGAGCCAGGTGTCGGCGGCACGCCTAGGTGCGGCTTCGGCCGTTCCAGCCTCCAAATCTCTGTTGTGTTGGCGAAAATCCTGGTCATTTGTTGTGTAGACCAGGGGTGGGGTAGAACGCCTAGGTGAGGATCCGTCCGAGCCATCCACCTGCGGCCTCCCTCGTCTCCGGTCTTCTTGACTCTATCTTGACACCGGGCTCAGACGGGGGAGGAGGAGAGAGTGTAGGTAGATGCTACTCAAGTCTGCCGGCACTATAAACCACTGCGTAAGTCACCGTCCCTGCTCCCATTGCTGCTGAAAATGTGGGGCACACGGTGGACATCATCGAAGTCGATGGTCGAACTATCGTGTGTGCCCTCCAAACGGGCCACGCGTTAGATGCGCTGGACCAACACGGGGGTCACATTGGACTCTGGCAGACGTTATCTGTGCACAGTAACAAATGCCAACATTTTGGTGTGCGCTGGCGGACCCTGTTGTCGGCATTCGTCGCACAACTGGACCACTGTCACCACCCCAATGTTTTGTGGTCAAACTGTCATATGTTCCGGCACACGTGTAAATTCGAATAGGCCCTCCTAGCTCCGGTAAGCGTATCTGAAGCGAGTGCGTTGGCTATTGTTTACGACATCTATCTCGACTTCGGACAAGGTGTCAGCCAGCACACTGAGCGTCCCTGACACAGGAAACAAAATGCACGCAGCAGAGTGCGCAGAAAGCATCCTTAATTGCGCTGCATTCCCGACTGGTCGTATTCGCGTCGGAGTCAGCACGCTACAACGACCAAGATGGCGAGGGCTCTTTAACTTGACATGCAAAATGACAAAAGAATGGGTAATTAGGTGAGCTGGACGCCCCAATCCGCTATCTCGGGTTAGGACAAGTGTTGTCAGTGTAAGTTGTGCCTGATAGAAGGGTGGGGAGAGACTATGCGAAATTGGCTGCTGCATTTGCAGGTCGTGAAGCTTGGTAGACACGTGGCCTGGTTGGTCACTTGCGAGCCCATCGCACAGAGACTGGTGAAACAGGGCGTGGAGCGCCGACATACATCCGCTGACAACATCTCAATCGCCAGTACTGCCCTCCCGCATTCAACCATCGCACGCACCTATTCGGCCGCATGAATATTTACGAAAACCTGTGGTAAGTCACCACAGTCATGACCTCACCACTACAAGTTCCTTAGTCAACGCATGCGCCGCGCAAAAATGCTTCCCAAATCCCACATCACAGGCACGTCTCATGCTAGTGACTTCTTGGCTTCTCTGCCACATTTGTGATCCAAGCGGTCTACCCCCTTTATGTTTGACATCCTGCGGTGTGCCTATGGGGGCCGTGTTGCGTGTATGGTACCCGCAAACGAGCTGTCCTCAGGGTAGAGTGAGTCAGGTTGCCGCTTACTGACGCGCATGGTTCTAACACCGTACCCGAAAAGCCGTGGCGTGGAAGGTTGTCAACCCATTTGCACCCATTTGCGCTTTTGTGATTTGATTGGCTAGCTGGGGGACTGAGAGCCAGGCTGCAGTGGCTCCTTCTTAATAGCACACATATGAGGTGCGAGACGCATCCCTAACTGTGTGTGTATTCCTGGTCGTGCCTGCGGTGCGGGAGAACGATCCACAGCGCCCAATGCCGGCATCAGACATTTAACTGGTTCCGACAGGGGCTGGAGCCTGGGAATGGGGAGGGAGTGTGGGGTCGACGACTCAACGCATTTTCCTCATCAAAAACAATTTCACGCGCCTGAAGCTATCATGGTGGGCGACTTGGAAGGTTGCCAACTGACGGGATAACTTGGACCACGCAGTCGGCTCAGTTATGTATGTTTGTGTCGAGTGGCCAATTGGTCGCAGCGGCTCCTTCTTAATGTGGCCTTTGTGGCACTCCCACTCCGTGGCATCCGAGCCGGTTGTGGTGGCACACCTAGGGAGGGCTGCGGTCCCACCAGCCGCCTGTGTCCTCTTCCATCGGTCTTCTTGACTATGTCTTAACACCGGGCCAAGATGTGGAAGGCGAACAGGGTGCGATAGGTGTTGCTCAAGCTCACTATCTCTTAGAGGTCACAAGAGAGCGAGATTGACGTTCTCAGCGCGTATCCTTCATTTTACACAATCTGATGGGCATGAAGCTGTCACGGGATCCTAAAAGTCGTGGATGAGAAAGTTAAAAACTGACAGGATAAGTCGGACTTCGCAGTCAGCCCTGTGTGTGTTTGTTTGACATGGAGGACTGAGAATCAGAGCACAATGGCTTCTTCTCAATTTGGCCTGAATAGCACTCTCACCAATTGCTATCCGAGCCGATCCTCTTTTCGCTGTTGAATAAAATCCTGTTCGGTGTACGTTTTGGACCAAAATAGTCATTTTGTAAAATAATACTCTCGTTTGCGGCAAGATGTACACAAGACGGGCAGCAACACCGGGCGAGAACTGTTAGAGGCGTGGATGTCGGACACCAACTCTATCAATAGACACATTGGTTTGCTGGCGTGTTATCACGCAGTCCGCCCACGCGACCAGGTGGCGCAGCTCACATCGCCGCGAGGTAAAACGGCATCACCACGCCGGGGACCATTGTGGGCCAGGCAGCACACACCAGACCTAGCCACGGACGTAGGCCCCCTCTCTCACGACACAACGATATTAATGATCACACGTTGCTGCACTCTAGCAGTCTCTGATGATGAACTCCAGTTCGAGTTCGAAAGCTAAGGTCAATAAATCAACCGTCCCAGTGATCGTGCCTTCGTCTTCTTTTACACTTTCTTTAATGCCTATCTTCCAGGATTATTTAACCTGTGCGTTTATTTGTCAATTCAACTTTTCTGGGCGTTCATTTAAGGACGTCGATCAACGGTAAAGAACGCATGTCGTCTTATATGCGATATGTTGTCATGTTCTGCCGTTAGAAGAATTTGTCTTATTTTTTTTATTTTCAGTTATCTGCATTTGCCAGTTTTATTCTCATCCTCCGAAAATCCCATCAAAGAAGGATACTAATTTCATAAGTCTAGACATCTTTTCAGTATTACAGCTTGACCTCTTAGAAGTCCTGAATGCAAACTCATCCGACAACCAAATCCTCTTAACACATACTGGACTCGACAGATTATACTTCTCTGACTAAAATCCCGGATAAACAATCTGATATATTACACTCCTCCGTAACACTTTGCTCGAATAGCAGGGAGGAGAAAATTATCTAATTTCCGCACATTTTGCAGGAATGCACGATAATACAAGTATATCACGAAAGAGTGCAAAACCAAGTGGTGTAACAATTTTCGACCGAGATATTCCCACTTGATCCAGTTGTAAGAAACTAGGCTGCAGCGGTGGGATTCGAACCCACGACAGGAAGAGCAGGACTTGAGTACAGCCAACGTTCTAAGTACGTGAGCTATGAGACCCCATCGGAAGTTATGCGTCTGATCACATTTGCGTAATGTTTCCCGTCCCGTATAGGATCCGCTAATTACGAACCCAAGCAGGATTTCGAAGCACTAAATCTATAATCCACCAGATGACTACTAGTCTTAGTTAATTAGTTGCTCATTGGATCCATCTGGGAAAAACTCGGCTACCTCGAGGGGATTTGAATCCATGACAGCAAAGGTGAGGCTTGAGTGCAGCCAATGCAGTTACAGAAAGTTGATGCGGTCGTAAATGCCGTTTAGTAACACATATCTAGCGGAATATACAAATCACCTGGCGATCTCCGTGTGGTTCAAATACACGACAGCAATTGCACTGCTTGCGCAGGAGAAACACTCCAACCCCCGAAATCACGAGGCCTCGGCAAGGAAAATGTTTGCTCTAAGGAATTTGATATAACCAAGCAGAGATAACATTCGGCCTATATCATGCGCCGCTGTGCGGCGGCTGGTTTGGCTCGAGACAGAGAGCCCGTAAGGCAAAACAGAACGAGTGAGTTTCGTAGAAACGATCGGTAAACGCTCCTCTACCATTGTGCAATCTCGACCAAAACCGACAGGACAACGAGCCCGTGGCTCAGTGGTTATAGGCGTTAGACGTCTAAATAACAGGTCTCGGGACCGAGCCTCAGGTGTTTCACATTTCTGGGTTGGGTACGACTGACTGACAACGGCCAATAAGCCAGAATGGCCATTCCTGTCTCCCTTGTCTTTGTCGGTAATATCATTCTGCCTATATATCATGTGCA